CAAGAATATGCAGTAACCTCAACACTGTCTTTCTTGCTTTGTAAATCTGTTGTAGAGTTCCAGCAAATTCGCAAGACAAGTTTTTTCTCATTCCCAAATCCATGATGATCTTCTATAACGAGTTTAATTCTTCCTAAGAGCTCATGTTAGCAGAGATCTGGGACACCAAATTTAAGAGGAGGGAGAGAATTCTCTGTGTTATAATATACTTTTCGTTACTATCTTCTCCAGAACTTTTGACAGTATGCATGTTAGGGATAGTGGCTTATAATTCAGTGTTTCTTGCCTGTCTCTTCTTCCTCTTTTATATATCCCCGGGGACCACATTTGCCTTTTTCCAACTTTCTGGAACTTTTCTGATTGGAGAGACTGGTGAATACCTGAGTTATTGGGTGACACAGTTGTTCTGCCACTTCACGCAACACTCAGGCTGATATGTTATCTGGAGTCATTGATTTTGTTACATCAAGCTCAATTAGTAGTCTCATTATTTCTTCTTTTGTTGAGTTTGTTGTTTTCCACATCTGTTAATTGGTCAACAACATAACTTGCAATTTCTCTTCACTTTCTCTTTTAAAAGCTTTCGAAATTTGAAAATTTTTACTTTTTCTGTCATTTTGAGCCACTTTCCCCCCTTTTCCTTCAGTATTATGTGTTCCTTCACTTTTGTCTTTTCCTTACTTGTTGTGGTTTTTTTTGGTTTGATGTGCCAACTTTATAAAAATTCCCTTTCAGCTTCCCTTCGATTCTTAATATCTCTTTCTGTCTCTCCTGTTAGTTTTTTGTTTTTTTGTGCTTTGATTTGCCCCCATAATTTTTGCAGGTTGTGTTACACCTTTCCCCTGGCCCTTCTCCCTTTCCCTGTAAACCCCATCAGGATCTCTTCTCTGTCTTGCTTTTTCCCCTCTCTTGTTTACAAAAAAATTTTTTTTTGGCCTTATGGCTTTGTTTTCTTTTATCTTATCCCTTCTGCACATGTGTTTGGGGTGTGTGTGTGTGTACCACCTAGTTGTACTCACCAGTTGGGTTCAGGGGTCGAGTCCGAGCTCCGGGCCCCCCGCCCTTCACGGGACGCTACTAGGTCACTCCCCCTAACCGGGAGCTTTATCAACCTCTGCTTAAAGCTTTAGGATCCTGCCCCCACTAATCGCCCCCCCCAAACTATTCCACTTACGATTACTCTGTGGGTGAAGAAAACTTCCCAACATTCCCGGATTCATCTGTGTCTAGTTTTCAACTGTGTCCCCCCGTTGTGTGTACAGTCTCTGGAATATCCGTCTTTGTCCACCTTGTCAATTCCTCTCGTATTTTTTATGTCGTTATTATGTCCCCCCTATCTCTCGTGTCCTCCAGTTTTGTCAGGTTGTTTCCCTTAACCCCCTCCCGTAGGAAATTAACCCCTTACTTGGGACTAGTCCTTTTGCAAACTTTTGCACTTTCTCTAGTTTCTTTAGTGCTTGGGTAGGTGTGGGGTCCAAACTGGTGCCGCAACTCCAATTGGGGCCCAAGTACACGGTGTACAGGGGCCGAATGATTCCTTATTAAGATTCGGAATGCTGTTTTGAGGTTTTTCTGGGCGCCCATATGCGAGCAGTCATTTGGGTTATGTGCGCTTCAGGAGATGTCCTGGTGTTAGGTAAGACCAAAATTTCAACATTAGGTATCTTTATTCAAACGTTTCGCCTCACATAGCTTCTTCATCGAGTACAGAAAAATTGATAGAAGCAGAAGATACTTGAAGACGATGTAATCAGTCCATCACCCTCAAAGTTTGAGGTGGTCAGTCCCTCAGTCTGGAGAAGAGCATTGTTCCGTTGTCTGAAACGGAACAATGCTCTTCTCCAGACTGAGGGACTGACCACCTCAAATTTTGAGGGTGATGGACTGATTACATCGTCTTCAAGTATCTTCTGCTTCTATCAACTTTTCTGTACTCGACTGAAGAAGCCTACTGTGTAGGCGAAACGTTTCGAAATAAAGATACCTAACTGTTGCATATGTGTCTTACCTAACAATCTGTCGGTATTTATACCATTTTAATGTTCAGATGTGCCTGGTGTTATATTCATCCCAAGATCTTTTTCCTTGAATGAGGTTTGTAGTCTCTGGCCCCTAGACTGTATTCCGTCTGCGGTCTTTTTGCCCTTCCCCAATCTTCTTGACTTTGCAATTGGTGGGGGTTGAACTCCAGAAGCCAATTGCTGGACCAGTCTGCAGCCTGTCCAGATCCCTTTGTAGTTCTGCCTGGTTTCGATCGATGAATTCTTCTCATCAACTTCACGTCATCTGCAAACAGGGACACCTCGGAGTCTATTCCTTCCGCCATGTCGTCCACAAATACCAGAAACAGCACTGGTCCTAGGACTGACCCCTGTGGGACCCCGCTGGTCACAGGTGCCCACTCTGACACCTCGCCACGTACCATGACTCGCTGCTGTCTTCCTGACAAGTATTCCTTGATCCAATGTAGTGCCTTCCCTGTTATCCCTGCTTGGTTCTCCAGTTTTTGCACTAATCTCTTGTGTGGAACTGTGTCAAACGCCTTCTTGCAGTCCAAGAAAATGCAATCCACCCACCCCTCTCTCTCTTGTCTTACTGCTGTCACCATGTCGTAGAACTCCAGTAGGTTTGTGACACAGGATTTCCCGTCCCTGAAACTATGTTGGCTGCTATTGATGAGATCATTCCGTTCTATGTGTTCCACCACTCTTCTCCTGATAATCTTCTCCATGACTTTTGCATACTATACATGTCAGTGACACTGGTCTGTAGTTTAGTGCTTCATGCTGTCTTCCATGCATCAGGCAATCTCCCTGTTTCGGTAGATGTATTGAATATTGTTGTTAGGGGTACACACAGCGCCTCTGCTCCCTCTCTCAGGACCCATGGAGAGATGTTATGTGGCCCAATTGCCTTTGAGGTATCTAGCTCACTCAGAAGCCTCTTCACTTCTTCCTCGGTTGTGTGCACTGTGTCCAGCACTTGGTGCTGTACCCCACCTCTCCGTCTTTCTGGAGCCCCTTCTGTCTCCTCTGTGAACACTTCTTTGAATCTCTTGTTGAGTTCCTCACATACGTCACGGCCATTTCTTGTTGTCTCTCCTCCTTCCTTCCTTAGCCTGATTACCTGGTCCTTGACTGTTGTTTTCCTCCTGATGTGGCTGTATAACAGCTTCGGGTCAGATTTGGCTTTTGCTGCTATGTTGTTTTCATATTGTCGTTGGGCCTCCCTTCTTATCTGTGCATATTTGTTTCTGGCTCTACTACTGCTCTCCTTTTTCTCCTGGGTCCTTTGCCTTCTATATTTCTTCCATTCCCTAGCACACTTGGTTTTTGCCTCCCTGCACCTTTGGGTGAACCATGGGCTCATCCTGGCTTTTTCATTATTCCTGTTACCCTTGGGTACAAACCTCTCCTCAACTTCCTTGCATATTGTTGCTACATATTCCATCATCTCTTTAACTGGCTTCCCTGCCAGTTCTCTGTCCCACTGAACCCCATTCAGGAAGTTCCTCATTCCTGTGTAGTCCCCTCTCTTGTAGTTTGGCTTCATTCGTCCTGGCCTTCCTGCTTTCCCCTCCACTTGTAGCTCTACTGTGTATTCGAAGCTTAAAACCACATGATCGCTGGCCCCAAGGGGTCTTTCATATGTGATGTCCTCGATATCTACATTACTCAAGGTGAATACTAAGTCCAGCCTTGGTGGTTCATCCTCTCCTCTCTCTCTTGTAGTGTCCCTTACGTGTTGGTACATGAAGTTTTCCAGTACTACCTCCATCATCTTAGCCCTCCATGTATCTTGGCCCTATGTGGCTCCAAGTTCTCCCAATCGATCTCCTTGTGGTTAAAGTCGCCCATGATCAGAAGCTTTGCCCTGCATGCATGAGCTCTTCTGGCCACTGCAGCCAGTGTGTCAACCATCGCTCTATTGCTCTCATCATACTCTTGCCTTGGCCTCCTACTGTCCTGTGGTGGGTTATACATCACTGCAATTACCACTTTGGGACCTCCAGAGTCAAGCGTTCCTGCTATGTAATCGCTTGCTTCTCCGCTGTCTCCTCTATCCAGCTCATCAAAATTCCATCGGTTTTTGATCAGCAGTGCCACTCCTCCACCTTCCATGTTCCCTCTGTCTTTCTTCAGGATCTGGTAGCCCGTTGGAAAGACGGCATCTGTTATCATACCTGTAAGCCTGGTTTCTGTGAGAGCTATGATGTCCTGTGATGTCTCTTTGACTCTTTCGTGCCATTCCTCCCACTTATTTGTTATTCCACCAGCGTTTGTGCACCATACCTTCAGTTTCCTCTCCAATACTGTGTGTGTGTGTGTGTGTGTGTGTGTGTGTGTGTGTGTGTGTGTGTGTGTGTGTGTGTGTGTGTGTGCGGGTGTGTGTGTGTGTGTGTGTGTGTGTGTGTGTGTGTGAGTGTGTGTGTGTGTGTGTGTGTGTGTGTTTTAACATGCCTGTACATGATGCTGTGTACATAAGTAAATACAGGTAACTCTAATGCAGAAGTAGGTCGCGAGATGCAGTAATTAACACTTGATGCTTTCCTTCCCTGCCTTGCTCCCTGTCTCCCCTCCCTCCCTGCCTCCCTCCCTGCCTCCCTTCCTGCCTCCTTCCTGCCTCCCTCCCTGCCTCCCTTCCTGTCTCCCTTCCTGCCTGCTTGTTTTCCCTGTCTCCCTCCCTGCCTCCCTCCCTGCTCTTCTATCTCTCCTCTCTCTCTCTCTCTCTCTCTCTCTCTCTCTTCTTCCTGACTTCGTCAATCTGGCTCCCTTTTATTGGCATTCACCACCTGGCCCTCTCCCTAACACTTGTCCTCGCTCTCTCCATTCGGAATTTCCCTGACACTCTCCCTGGCCCTTTCCCTGGCACTTTTCTTGACACTCTCCTTGGCACTTCTGGCACTCTCCCTGGTCTTCTCACTGGCACTCCCCCTGGCACTCTCCCCGGCACCCTTCCTGGAACTCCCCTCTCCCTGGCACTCTCCGTAACCCTGGTAGCGCTGACGGTAACTTCGAGGTAACGTTATCAACCAAAGCGACGCTACACATGACTGGTCTGGTCGAGTGGAAGCCGCCAGCCATCTACAAGTCCTCGTGCGAGATCGACGTCGAATACTTTCCCTTCGACGAGCAGACCTGCGTCATGAAGTTTGGCTCCTGGACCTACGATGGCTTCCAGGTGAGTGTAGGTGAGTGTAGGTTGTTGCAGGGGGTATTGCTGGGTGCTGCAGATGTGTTAGTTGGAGTGGGAGGGTGTTAGTGGGTGTGGGAGTGGGAGGGTGTTAGTGGGTGTGGGAGAGTGTTAGTGGTTGTGGGTGGGTGTTGCAGGTGTGCTGGAAAGTGTATGGAAGGTGTTAGTGGGTGTAGGTAATTGTTAGTGGGTGTGGGTGGATGTTGGTGGGTGGATGTTTGTGGGTATGGGTGTGAGTGGGTATTGGTGGGTGGGTGTTAATGGATGTAGGTGGGTGTGGGTGGGTGTTAATGGATGTAGGTGGGTGTGGGTGGGTGTTCATGGTTTGAACTTTAGAAGCCACTTGTTTGACCACATACGTAGTGTGTTAAGATCTTCCTGGAGTTTATCACCCTCCTCTCCTGTTTACCATCACACAGTGATACATAGGAGTCATTACCTAATTTAGGAACAATAGTGATCCTAATACTGATCCTTGTGGAACACCACTAGTTACTCTCCCCCATTCGGATGTCTCATCTCTTACCGTTACTCTCTGCCTTTTGTCATTCAGGTACACCCTGACTCACTGGGATCACTCGGCCTTTTAACTCTGCAAGTTCCTTTAATCTCTGGACTAATCTCTGCTCTAGTACTGTATTAAATGTCTTCTAGCAGTCCAAGAAGATGCAGTAACCTCAACACTGTCTTTCTTGCTTTGTAAATCTGTTGTAGAGTTCCAGCAAATTCGCAAGACAAGTTTTTTCTCATTCCCAAATCCATGATGATCTTCTATAACGAGTTGAATTCTTCCAAAATGCTCATATTAGCTCAGTGTTATTATTTGTTCCTTCACAGTTGTCTTTTCCTTTCGTTGTTGTGGAGTAACTGGTTATTCTCAGAGGCGTCGCTAGGGTTGGTGTCACCAGGGGCGGAATCATTGGTGTCACCCCCATGAAATCCAAGGGTGGGAGGATAAGTGTAGTAGACACCAGTTACATCACTGATACATGACCAGTGACTAATGTCCAGCAATGCGAACGTTTAAAGGCCATAAACCGAACTTTATTAATGCTAAAATAAATAATCGTAGTAATATTGAGGAAACATAAACTTTCCTATTCAGCTGTGTAATCCAGTTCCCTTTCTTCCCTTTAAACTTCTCTCACAGAATTTATCATGCCGTCATTGTGTCTCTCTCTTCTGGAGCCCCATTTTCTGGTACTAAGTTCTTTCCTTTTCTGTCTATTCTGATTTCCACAGACACTCACAACTTGGTGCCACATGATCACTGACACTTGGTGCCACATGATCACTGGCACTTGGTGCCACATGATCACTGGCACTTAATGGCTTCCTATAAGTGATTATATTTGTTATATTCATTTTGTGGGGAAATCAGATTAAATCTCGTTGGTTCACATCTCACATCTCACATCTCACATTGTCACACCTCACATTGTCACACCTCACATCTCACACCTCACATCTCACACCTCACATCTCACACCTCACATCTCACACCTCACATCTCACACTTCACATCTCACATGTCACATGTCACACCTCACATCTCACACCTCACATCTCACACCTCACATCTCACACCTCACATCTCACACTTCACATCTCACATGTCACATGTCACATGTCACACCTCACATCTCACACTTCACATCTCACACCTCACATGTCACACCTCACACCTCACACGTCACATCTCACATCTCACATCTCATATCTCACTCCTCACATGTAAAACCTCACATCTCACACCTCACATCTCACATCTCACACCTCACATGTCACACCTCACATGTCACACCTCACATGTTACACCTCACATGTCACACCTCACATATCACACCTCACATGTCAAACCTCACATGTCACATCTCACATCTCACATCTCACACCTCACATGTCACACCTCACATGTCACACCTCACATATCACACCTCACATGTCACACCTCACATGTCACACCTCACATGTCACACCTCACGTGTCACACCTCACATCTCACACCTCACATGTCACACCTCACATCTCACACCTCACATGTCACACCTCACACCTCACACCTCACATCTCACACCTCACATGTCACATGTCACATCTCACATGTCACACCTCACAAGTCACACCTCACATGTCACATCTCACACCTCACATGTCACACCTCACATCTCACACCTCACATGTCACACCTCACATCTCACACCTCACATGTCACACCTCACATGTCACACCTCACATCTCACATCTCACACCTCACTTGTCACATCTCACATCTCACACCTCACATGTCACATCTCACACCTCACATGTCACATCTCACATCTCACACCTCACATATCACACCTCACATGTCACATCTCACACCTTACATGTCACACCTCACATCTCACACCTCACATGTCACGCCTCACATCTCACATCTCACACCTCACATGTCACATCTCACACCTCACATATCACATGTCACATCTCACACCTCACATGTCACATCTCACACCTCACATGTCACATCTCACATCTCACACATCACATCTCACACCTCAAATGTCACATCTCACAGCTCACATGTCACACCTCACGTCACACCTCACATGTTATACTTCACATCTCACATCTCACACCTCACATGTCACACCTCACATGTCACACATGACATGTCACACCTCACATGTCACATCTCACATGTCACACCTCACATCTCACACCTCACGTGTCACATCTAACATCTCTCATCTCACATCTCACACATCACATCTCACACCTCGAATGTCACACCTCACATGTCACATCTCACATCTCACGCCTCACATGTCACATCTCACATCTCACACCTCACATGTCACACCTCACATGTCACACCTCACATGTTACACCTCACATGTCACACCTCACATGTCACACCTCACATATCACACCTCTCATGTCACATCTCACACCTCACACCTCACATGTCACACCTCACATGTCACATCTCACACCTCACACCTCACATGTCACACCTCACATGTCACACCTCACATGTCACTCCTCACATCTCACACCTCACATGTCACACCTCACATCTCACATCTCACACCTCACATCTCACACATCACATCTCACACTTCACATCTCACACTTCACATCTCACACTTCACATCTCACATCTCACACTTCACATCTCACACCTCACATCTCACACTTCACATCTCACATCTCACACTTCACATCTCACAGCTCACATCTCACACCTCACATCTCAAACATCATATCTCACACCTCATATCTCACACTTCACATCTCATTCTTCACATCTCACACTTCACATCTCACACTTCACATCTCACACCTCACATCTCACACCTCACATCTCACACCTCGCATTTCACACCTCACATCTCACACTTCACATCTCACATCTCACACCTCACATCTCACATCTCAAGCCTCACATCTCACACCTCACATGTCACACCTCACATCTCACACCTCACATCTCACACCTCACCTGTCACATCTCACACCTCACATGTCACATCTCACTTCTCATACCTCACAAGTCACATCTCACATCTCACACATCACATCTCACACCTCAAATGTCACATCTCACATCTCACACTTCAAATGTCACACCTCACATGTCACATTTCACATGTCACACCTCACATCTCACATGTCACACCTCACATGTTACACCTCACATATCACACTTCACATGTCACACCTCACATGTCACACCTCACATGTCACACCTCACATGTCACACTTCACATGTCACACCTCATATGTCACACCTCACATGTCACACCTCACATGTCACACCTCCCATCTCACACCTCACATGTCACACCTTACATGTCACACCTCACATGTCACACTTCACATCTCACATCTCACACCTCACATGTCACATTTCACACCACACATGTCACATCTCACGTCTCACACCTCACACGTCACATCTCATATCTCACATGTCACATCTCAAATCTCACACATCACATCTCACACCTCAAATGTCACATCTTACACTTCACATGTCACACCTCACATGTCACACCTCACATCTTCTCACACCTCACATGTCACACCTCACATCTCACATCTCACATGTCACACCTCACATCTCACATGTCACACCTCACATCTCACATGTCACACCTCACATCTCACATGTCACACCTCACGTCACACCTCACATGTCACACCTCACATGTCACACCTCACATGTCACACCTCAGATGTCACACCTCAGATGTTACACCTCAGATGTCACACCTCACATGTCACACATCACATGTCACACCTCACATGTCACACCTCATATGTCACACCTCACATGTCACACCTCACATCTCACACCTCACATGTCACACCTTACATGTCACACCTCACATGTCACACCTCACATCTCACACCTCACATCTCACACTTCATATCTCACATCTCACCTCTCACACCCTTACATGTCACACCTCACATCTCACATCTCACATCTCACACCTCACATGTCACGCCTCACATCTCACATCTCACACCTCACATGTCACATCTCACACCTCACATGTCACATGTCATATCTCACACCTCACATGTCACATCTCACACCTCACATCTCACATCTCACATCTCACATCTCACACATCACATCTCACACCTCAAATGTCACATCTCACAGCTCACATGTCACACCTCATATGTCACACCTCACCTGTCATACCTCACATCTCACATGTCACATGTCACATGTCACACCTCACATCTCACATCTTACATCTCACACCTCACATGTCACACCTCACATGTCACACCTCACATGGCACATCTCACATGTCACACCTCACATGTCACATCTCACATGTCACACCTCACATCCCACATGTCACACCTCACATCTCACACCTCACGTGTCACATCTAACATCTCTCATCTCACATCTCACACATCACATCTCACACCTCGAATGTCACACCTCACATGTCACATCTCACATCTCACACCTCACA